GCGGCATGTCGTTGGTAGGGAAAATAATTATTTATAATCCTAGCTCTACTCGACTTTGGAAAATTGCTCGGCCGTCGCGTTGTAAATACTGAGAACCTATTGAAACAATACACGAATTCCCAGCCAGACAAAGCATCTTTGATGAAAAATATCCTTGTATAGGCAAAGAATGCAGCATATTATAACACATAGCGAATTAATTATATTCACTTACTGATACCACAATGGAAGCAACACACAAACAGACAGGTATTAAGTTCAGCGCTACTACGTCAGTCACCACTGACTGTGACAAAACAGTAATGAGTTACGCGTTGGCAGCGCTACTATGTCAGTCACCACTGACTGTAAAGCGTCTGATGCCACTCATGGCGCGCGTGTTCTTCGACATGTGTGATGCTGACCGCGCGTGCGGCAGCATAGTAAGAGCGTACAACCGCACGAGCTCGGCTCTGTTCACGTAACTCCTTCATGCCACTATCTCTATATCCACCTCCATACTCTTCCCTTTTTGTCTGTTGAAGGATAAAATGCTCTTTCTGTCTTCATTCATGCGTATCCTCTACTCTTTGAACAGGGTGCGACATCGGTGCGTCTCTTCCTCTGTATCGATTCACTTTGTTTTCCTCAATCTTTACCCCGTCCCCTTTTTTCCCTCTTGCTCACCGTATCCTCTTCCTTCATCCCTCTTCTTGTTATGTGTCATATTCCTTAATGTTCTATTCCTTTTTATAATTTCTCACTTTTTTTCTACCCCAGTATCACATTTTTGCAATTCACCAAGCGGTCGCACAGTGCGCAGAGCATACGGCCACCATAGACGTTCATTGTTTAGCATCATGACAACAAGTTAGACCAGCAGACATGAAATCCACCAGCCTCAAGACTTGATAATCAAAATCTATTGTTAGAAGGAATTTTAACGAAGTGTGTAAATCAGACAAGCATATTTTGCATTAGTAAATTGACGCTCGTGGGTTTCTTCGAGGTTACGCACATGATGTGAAGAAGGATTTACGCTAAGGTAAGTTTTGTTAGCAATTTAATTCAGAAGGCATAATTGGGGACGTCTAAGGGTATTGAATTTAAAAGAACATTATCTGTTTCTTTTATTTTCAAATCTTAAGCTTAATTCAGAATTTTCTACTCATTCGTTTCAGAATGCTAAGCCTAGAATACGAAACTACAGTGCCCCTATGGAGATAGTGCACTCTCACTCCATATTGATATAACAAAATCCTTGTCTAGTTCAATTCTTACGTTACTGTAAATTCCAAATTGAATCGAAAGACACATTCTAAGATGCTTCAACTAACGTAACGACTCCCTAAAAAATCACTTTAGCTTGAAACAAAATTAACGGGTTGGTGGGAGGAAATGAAAACTAAACTAACAGTGAATTTTTTTCAGAAATTAGAGCTACATAATCTATATCAGACCAGTTCATTAGCTGAAAATATGTGAGAACAAAATTAGGTTGAGGCTCGCAGTGTACGCAAGTTGCAGATAAGGTGGAGGTCCCCAGAGCAGTTATCACCAGCGGAGGTAAGCTGCATCCGTGCTGCTTTGGGACAGCGGTGGAGCAATAACCTTTGCAGTGTCGCATACTTTGTTTGTAACTCGTCCTATAACTTTACTCTTAAACAGTATACCTACTTATNGCTGTCTCTTATACACATCTAGATGTGTATAAGAGACAGCCTATAGCCATCATAAAAACATAGGTGCTCCACTCTTAATTTTTATTTGGGATACTGAGGGCAAGATGGGAAAGTACGTAAAAATTTTATAATAACTAGGATATTAATTTTCATAACATTTGCAGTATCACATACTTCGTTGCAAGGCAACTCGTCCAATAACTTTACTCTAACAAAACTTCGACTGAAGTTGTAGAAGAATAATTTAGCAGTCTTAAATATTTATACCAGTAAATTATAATCATGTTTCATAACCCTAGCAGTATCACTTAGTCCGTTACCATAACACTCATCCAATAACTTCACTTCTACAAAACTTCAATTGAAGTAATAGAATAATAATTTAGTAGTCTTTTATTTTAAGGCTAGTATATTACCGCATGCGTCAAGGAAAAGAACATAAAATTTATTCGTTACCTACTGGTTATATAAATTTTCAACATTTTTCAATATCATTCGTGAATCAACATGATATCAGTGAGCTCATCAAGTAGTGTATACCTATACGCTTATTTATTGAGGAACAGAAAGACAAGTAAAGCTGCCCTCCTATGCCCATTAAAATTGTAGGGCTTTTCTGCGAGAAAATAGGTAATGATATTGTAATTAACAACCCCCAAAATAACATATTACGCAAAGGCAACATTAACTGTGCCCCCGGTTGAATAAAACGCAAGAAGGATGGAACGTCATAGTTAGACCTGCGCAGGATGTCGCAAAATGCACATATTCTGCAGCATAATCATTCAGCGCTCATTGGCCAGCCTTCACGAAATAAATATGCCGCATAATTATTCTGCACTTATACTTATTGAATAGCTTCACAAAATTCAAGCTGGGTATCATCTAAGTTAAGTTTGGCATAACATTAAGAGCTTTCAGTCCATTGTAATATTTTTGTTAATGAGCATTGTATTGATCACTGGTGAGCTGCCTACATTCTTTAGGGCTTACAGTATAATAGTTATAGTGTGAAGTTCCATACATTTCGCAAATTATTACGGAAATTATCATCTAAGCTAGCCTCAATATCTTTCTTATTATACTTCTTCTTGAAAGTTAGTAGAAACAAAAAATGTTCCACCTCTAAGTCGAAGTGCAGATGTTCAAGTTAAAGTTCGGCTGTTGCATGATATTTTCATATTGACAAGAACTTAAGACGACAATCGTGAGTTTCTATTTACATCAAACGTTTTCCAGAGTAACATCAACATCAGTTGGTGATGGGCTTGCGGGCTTAAGGTCTCGACCCTACTTTCAAACGTCAGATGAGTTCGAACTTCTCAGATCAATCAAAATATGCCCAAACGAAAGACAGCAGGAACGATCAGGATGGAGATTTATAGTTTTAGAAAGATGAATGTCAGACTACGCTGACAAATTATAAGGTATATTGAAGTCTAAATATTTGGTGACGACTTTAATCTGCAATCCTGAAATGATTTTAAAACGGATATTTCTTAGAACTCTAGCTTGCAGATTGTTTTTTTAAACTGCTTTTCTCGTCACTTGGATGAGAAAAATGCATATGGAACACACGAGTTCCGTTTCAAAATTGACAGAGATTTGTAAAAACCATTTATTTTTTAACCACAAGCTGGGACGAAAATGTCGAAGTAATGCAGCAGCGGCATGTCACTGTTTTTTAACAGCTCCACTGCACGGCGGGAAGCCGCGGCAGACACCTCCACTGCATGTATCTCGGTCATATTTCCTAACGCTATTAACATAGCTTTGCACCAAGCATATTCGGAACTGAAAATCGTCCATATACAATTATTTAATACGCAATTGCTGATAGGCTACAGTCTGTGAATCGCAAAGCATTTAAAACGACAATATTTTCTGAATCAAGCTAAGTTATTTTCAGTGTTGTGTTGAAAATGAACGATTGCAGGCGACAGGTAGTGTTTAAAACATTAAAATGCATGTAGCAGCCTGAGGCTGCACAATCAGTCCTTCATTGGAGAGAATGAGAAACCAGATGTCTGATCCAGTTAAATTTAAGTTGCTGTTAACTGTAAATTTTTCAATTACTAAAAATTTTACTTTCATATAAACTTTTTTTCAGATACTAAACATTTTTTCACAGGAACATCGAGGATTATCTATTATTTATGAAGAATGATGAGTGCAGTGGCTGATAAACATGGCAGCGCTGCTCCACCCTCGACTACTCTAACAAGACGCTCACAGAATATTGAATAGTTCATACCATCCACCCACGTACAGAGCTCTTTTCTAAGCTCCAACGGCTCCGGCTTGGTGGCATTCGTTAAGAAACTGGCGGTCTCTCATGGCAGCCAACTATGAAATACTAACGTATACATGCCTTTTAATACAATTTACACAACATTAAATCCCAAGTTGTGCATCGCGAGCAAAAAAAAAAACAATAATATTGCTCATATAAATTAAATGCCCACCATGTAATTTAGTTTAAACCGAAGTATCAAGAAGCACAGACGCAATGGCTCGATTAAAGAGTAAAAGAAAATATTTTCAAATAACAGAATTAAGAATTCAAAAATATTTGGTAGGTACCTAACTTCATGTTTGTCGACGTGCTAAATGTTAACGTCTCAGCGTCATCAGGGTTACTAATTCAGCAGTCCTAGCACGTGAGAACCAACACGCTCTCGGTGCTGTGTTGCTGACACTGACAGTACGGATACAGGTCTGAACCTACAGCTTTGAATCAAGGTACAAATTATGTCAAGTATCACTGATCAAAAACCTGAATGTATATCAATAAAGAACACAGCAGCGGCTTTCAAGAGCACTGACTTCTTCGGCCCAAGCATCTAAGTAACATTCAACGGATTTTTTAAAACGTTAAATTAGCTTTTTGCAGTCAAGAGCTTGAAATGGACCTCCATAGGCGATGACACAAATCCTTCGACAACTCAGTGTAAATGATGAACCTGACGCTTTTCATGCCAAAAACAAAAATGAAGTTTCGGTCATGAAAAATTCGAAGGCCTACATCAGATTTGGGTCTCTGGTAGCATGAAAAAATTCGCATCAAGGTACAAATAATTGTAGATACTAACCAAGGACAAGACGATTCGGAGCGGCATCGACAATCGACATCGTCACGGCAAAGGTCGAATGCCACAATGAAAATTCCGAGAGTGGTCCTAGTGAGAAAAACTTCATTCATGATACGATTGACTTAGAATTAAGTTCATATTATAACCAATACAAACGACTTCTACATTGAAGTTATCTGAACGAACTTAAGAGGACTAAAATAATCAGTATTCAAGAACATAATCAATATAAAAAAAGAATGCTCACCTCAGGTAAAATCAGCAGAGCAAAATTCTTCAGCCACGGTTCGACGTACCTACTGTGCTCCTCCGCTACTGGTACCTTTGCCAAATAATTCACTGATAAATCAAAGTCTCTTTAGTCCATTTCAGTTCAAATCTATTGCAGTGATCATGAATGGACGAGCACATCATTTTATCTGAGAAATCATACCTCAAGAGTTTAGTAGTTTTCTCTCACAGATGGTACATTTGGAATTGCCCCAGCCGAACGAACAGAGAATGTTTGAATTAGTTCTCGAACTAATTACCTAGAAACACCTGAGAAACCGGAAGCTAGAAGAGCTTTGCAAAGTGAATGCGCCAAATAACTACCGATATTGTGAGGGACCCTGACCTCGACAGAGATGTTCCAGTGACAGAAAGACGAACGCGCATAGCCATCCACACACAGTCGCCAGCCAGCGCACACTGAGCTAGGCAGTAGGCACGGCAACAGCCTAGTCCTTCTCCTTACCTCGCTGACCGCTATGCTGCGACACTTCAGGAACTCGAGTCTCGTGAAGGATCGCGCGGATCTGCCAGTCGTTAAGCTAAAAAATCTTTCTTGGATACCGCATGTGGGTTTCTGAACGATCACGTAAGGTTGCGTGAATTCCGATTTAATTTTTGCGAAACACACGAGACCAATCAAGGATTTCAGTGCATTTTTTCACTGTGTAAAAAGCAGCATGAATTAGTTAACATAACATAACATTATATAGTGATGTTGGCGCTCGCTGAAGAGTAGGCCTGGTGTGGCCTGTCGCCGATTCTTGTATTTTTCGTGGCTTGTTCACAGAAGATCTAAAAGCATGTCATTTGACCGGATCTTTTCAAGACTGACGATAGTTTGAAATAGCTACTTGACTTCCACCGGGTTCAATATGGTGCTATGCATTTCAAGTCTGAACATATATTTCTCCTTAGCTTGTCTGTTCTTGAACGCGTTTGCACTAGGAGCGTAAACGATGTAATCTGGGAGGCTGTTCCAAATGTCGGTGATTCGAAGCGAGAAGAAATGTTGTCGCGTGGAAGAGCTGCCACGCAGTTTTTTTAGTTTTTAGTTGTTATTTACCAGTTTTGGGTAAGCTTTCAACAGTTTGTTGTTTAATTTCAGTATCTGCACTAGTACGTTCAAATGTGCGTAAATATGGAATTATAATGAACAATTCAGAATTTCGATTAACTGAGGTCACACAAATTTGTTTGTTTGATTACGGGTTTAAAAGGTTCTATTAGATCAATGTTGGGCAGCGAGACGTTTTTTCTCAAAACTCTTTTTGAGGATAGCTAATGATCTCAATTTTAAACTTAGCTTTATTTTCAGAATTTCAAAATCAGGCAACTACTCTCGGAACCTGTCTCTCCTGAAATTGCTTTAATTACTTTCGTTCATTAATTCTACTTGAATTTGTTAAACTTAATATTCGCTCACATAGTTTATACGTCCTCATTGTAAAAAATATTGTAAAAATATTTTAGAATGCATGGCACCTTACATAATCTTAAGATGATCAAATTAACAAACGATTTTTATTCCAGCACGTGCGAAGGGGTCGCCTGCCGAAGACCACCACTGCCCTGGATGTAATGGACCGGAGAGATCCAAGGTGTTCGATTCAGTGTTTATTGGTGCACAAAATTGGGGGTGCACGGCTGCGCTCCCCGTGCAAAGGATGTCGCCTTTCCTTATATAATTATAATTTGCCAACTTATGTTAATATGATTGAGGCACGACGTTTCAAGCCCTTATTCAACTAAATACTCAAATTTGAGCCTAAAAGTATCGCTTTTAAAATTTAAAGAAGGGTAAACAGTCGTCCTTTGTATTTAAACGATGTATATATCATTTAAAATACTCTGCAACCTATGATTATTCGATTATCTAGACCTTATCAAATATTCAACACTCTCCAAACTATCAGGTATACGATACTCAAGCTTGCGATATGTGTTATTCTGTATAGAAAATCACTGAGATTTGCGAATCTATTCGTGAGATCTCTTTTGCAGCTATTATTGTACCTACTGGACTAAAATAATGTTAATCATTGGAGGACCAGCTTCAACCGTCATTCAATTAACTGAGTGCATAAGTAAAGTTAATTTAATTTACTTTGGGGATATTTTAAGGAAATTTATATTTTTATTGAATTTTCATTCTTATCAAGAATAAAATTAAACTTCAAAACCAAGACACGCGCTTGACCTCCATGATCGCGCCGATACGAATAATATTTTGGATCCGGGTAAAATCTTTAAACGATATGGATTTTGGACACGAATGCATGGCACTTATACATTTAATGTCATGCTTCAAACTCACACAAACGTCATATTAGCAGGTTGGCCCACTGTTGTCTGAAAGAGATAATTTCTGCAACTTAAAAAAATTGCGTTAACCTGAATCTTGTCATCACATTCCCAGTCAATAATTTTGAGCCAACATACCTTATTTAGATGATGGAAAGCCTGACCCGTTTAGTATTTGTCATTTAGATCCTGACCCGACGAGGTAATTTGTCTCAGTGTCGGATGCTGCAGTAAGATGCTTTAGTTTTGTACTGAGAAGATAAATTCAATTTATTTATTCTAACCAAAAAATAATGCTAACGCACAAGGAAGTCAATTCTGACCGACTTATATGTACAAAAGTCCACGGTTATCATCCGTATTCATTCACTGTACCTTCGACCTCGGGTTGGTTCGTACTAGACTGGTAAAGAATAAGCAAAAATCTCGAGTCTGCGAACGCACATCACAACATTGTTATCCACAATAATTGAATAAGGGTAATTTAAATATCCAGGACGCACCTCATCTTTATTAAGAGAACCAAAAACACGATAATTCGATGTCTAAGACAGATTCGCATAATATAGACACAATAAATCCCATTCGATCGACAACGCGATGCTTCACTACTGAAGATATTCGTTCATTACTCCTTTAATGACCACAAATCAGTGGTCATTGACCGTATACCGCCTGATACACTCATTTTATTTCAGATCTGTATTATCTACGCAATATTAGAACAGAAAACCCTGCATCAGCGTGTAACAGAACAACTCTTACAACAGGACTGAAATATCATAGGCAGATACAAAGAAACATCGATGCCTATAAGTCCAGGACAGTGAGACTGCAATCACTGCATCGATATGGAATCTAAGCGATGCAAAATATGTTTACTTCTTTCAAGTAAGAATCCCCAGGTTATAGCTAAGTATACACTAATTCAGCCTTTAATCTACAAGTAACCGATATAGGTATATTATGAGTTGTTAACACCTAACCCAGCGCAACGGTGTAACCAAACTTTCTTTCTCGCAAGAAAATGTATTGACAGGTAAAACATAAGTTCATTTACTACGAACATCGGTCTTTGACCTTATAGCAACAAAATAATAATCCCCAAAATTTCGTTATCCGTTTCGTTTCATTAATTTCGTTTAGGGATTGCTAACATGAAGTAAATGAACATTGTATCAATGCTTATTACTTACTACATTCTAACAGCGACGGGAAAACAGCGCAACAACGGCAGTCGCAAGTCACGACCAGTTAAGACATCAGGTACACAAGAACATCCTTCGTCTTCATGTGTGAACACATTAGCAATGTTAGATCCAATGATTGAACAAAGAACGTGAACATATTCAGCAATGTTAGATCCGATGATTGAACAAAGAACGTGAACATATTCAGCAATGGTAGATCCGATGATTGAACAAAGAACGTGAAAATATTCAGCAATGGTAGATCAATAATTGAAGAGAGTACGTGAAAATATTCAGCAATGTTAGTTCAAGTGATTGAACAGAGAAAGAGAACACATTCAGCAATGTTAGATGCTATGTTAGACCTGCGTCAGCGTCCAATGGAAAATGTTAAAAAGTTTCAACATAATGAAGGTATGTTGCATTAAATTTTGCATTTATTTGTCGAAAGAAGAAGGTAAATACATCTAAATTTGGTTTAAGATACAATGAAACAAATATTATTCCGAGATGAGGACATGATACTGAGGCAGTGAACAATCTCTATGCTAAAGAACTTGAGACACAATAAGAAACAACTTAGTCAAAATATATCGGCACAACTCTTGAGAATAACACGAGAAAAATAGGAACTTCGTTTGTTTAATGCTGGCATTTCAAAAAATGAGTAAGAAAAAGATAATACTGTAGTAACCTGCACTGTTTAAATTAAGCATCATAAGCGAGGAAAATAACTGAATGGTGGATGGCTAACCCGCAGCGAAAAATAATACGGTCCAAAATAAGCTCTTTTATAAAACTCAGACGCAAGGAAGAAACTTAATTCCGCAGCAGACAGAAACTGCTGTGCGGCTAAATCTTGAGAAACTCAGACGGTATGCACAGTGAATGGAAATTCATGTGAAAATCGTGAATGAAAACCACATATCACTTGAGCTCACCAATTGACAGAAGGTTAAAAAAATCAATTAAACGCACGTGTTAAAGTTGAGAGAAAAATTTCTTACACAATGTCAACGGTTTCTACAAATGGTAGTTCGTAAGACCACATTATTCATCACTATTTTATAAGCATTCTGTGCATTTTACCGTGAAGACGATGTAGCAAAGTTTTGGCGATATAATTGAGGAATGGCGTTGAAAAAAGATCTCGAAACGCAGTGCGATGGCAGAAGGAATACAGCACCAACAAATTGTCTTCAGGCTTACAACTTAGATCACACAGAGTTTCAAACCATTTTTTAAGTAGATACGGAACAGCAGTTTGTGATTATTGTTGCTTCATTCAACCACTATGTATTCATCATACTAAAATGACCATATTCATAAGCTTATGTCAAACAAGATGTTTTAGGTTTAAAATTACGAGTAAATGACTGTTTATAAACCGATTGTGAAGCCACAATTAACTTCTATCTAAATAGCGATCACACCGCAGAGACGAAAGTTGCACTGCATTAATTTACAAGACTAGTAATGAGATGACGATCAACGAAATCGTCGAATCGTATATGTGCCGTTTGGTATCGACACTAGTATCGGCAAGAGTGAAGACCCGGAAGACATTCTTTATGAAAACTCATTACAAAATAAACAAAGTGCCAACTTTACAACCAATTCTCACAACGACAGAGTAAATTCTCACAGACTCAACATCTTTACATTAAAATATTCATTAATACCACAAAGACCGAAATATATATGACCGAAATCACGTAATAAACTCCAACTGAAGTATACTTTTTGCTCAAAATATTTGACATGTCCAAACGCAAAATGAGAGAGCTTGACCGGCAAATAAACTACTCTCAACCATCTCCCTAACACTGGTCCAGTAAGCTAGATTCTCTACTAAGCATATACCACTACAACAGGAGAGGTTCGACAAGCTGCAAGCAGAACACGAAAGAATTTATATTATTGGCGACCTGAAGCTGCCTGAAATAAGCCTTAGTTAAAACAATGAACGCAATATCAAGTCGAGAAGTTTCAGTTGAACTATACAACGACGATTTCCCTTATACTTTTCTATGGCCGCATTCTTAAGAGGCCCTAAGTTCTGAGGTACTACTCAAAATCTTCCAGGAGATACCATGCCTCGAATTTACCAAGACTTCACTAATCTCCTGGAAGAATGACAATTTTTCATGGCATCTAAGTTCAAGACAAAACGCGTCAGTAAGTTCAGGAATGTTAAGGTCAAAAAATGAATATGAGTCATGTTGAAATTAAATGTCAGTTTACAAAAAAACATCATAATGATTTAGTATGCGTGGCTGAGTACCTGCAAACACGTAGAGATAAACTAAGGCATTAAAATTTGGTATTCATATAAACAAATTACAGGTTTGACAAGTAAAAATAAACTACATGGTGAGCTAACATAATATCCATTTTGCAATATTTCATTAAGTAAATAATGATGTTAAGTCGTTGAGCCACGCACTGAGCGTAAAATAAATCACGATCGTTTGATTTGAGAAGAGCTGTCAATAATATACGAATGAGTTAAAAAAATATCAAAATTCATTTTCAAACAAAAGTTTGCATTAAGCACAGAAGAAATAATCTCAGTAAAAATATATTAAGGCAGAAAATAAGGATGTTACATCTAATTTTGGAAAGCCTCCCGTTTTAGTGAAACCAACACTAAGTAACTTGTAACGTTTGCAATACCAAAATAGGAGCAAATGAGAAAAAATATAACTCGGTACTCACTGCAGTGAGTGACAGAGAGCGCATTTTCTCGTCGACGAAAACATGAAGTCACGGACGGACAGACAGACGGACATGGCGAGCACAATAGTGCATTTTTTCATAAATGAGAAAATGCGCTAAAACCATATAACCTGTAACTACTGGAACAACCATAGCCGAATTTCGAAGAAATTTATGAGAGAAACGTGACCACAAGTTTAATTTTTTCCTCTAATTGGTGGCTGAACTGTTTTAATGACCAATACAGCAGTCAAAGATGTGAGCTAAGCCAGAGTCCAATCTGAACTACGTGAGAGCAGTGAGCAATAAAAAACTTGAAAACCAGAAACGTTTCTAATCCCTAACTAAGATCAATTGAAATTCATTCGGATTTCTAATACATCAAATGACCCATACGTTATTCATGACAGTATGAAGCGTTACAATCAAGGCAAAAATGATCCTACATAAAACTTGATTGTCTCTAAACTGAAAAATCATGAATAGCTCAGGTTAATGTGACATTTTCGTGACACTAGTCGAACCACACTAAATATGATCATGCAACAGAGCTACTGCTTGTACCAGTGAAAGGAGTTTTAGATAGTTTAGAGTACCAGTGAAAGGAGTTTTTATCATCAATTGGTTATAATATTAGCTTTTAAATGATACGTGATTTAGAACAATTCACCGACTTCTATAGCAAAAGCTTCCAACAGTAGTAGAACACTGACAAACTGAGAAAATAATGAAAATGAAGTATACCCACACTGTACTACATTACTGAATTAACAATATGGCATCATACTGAAAAAATGTTATAAGCATCTAATTGTGATTTAGAATATTTTTTTCCCGATAAATTCACCTAAGGCACACAAACAAATATTTAGGATACTACTGTAGAGACAAATACAAGCTACACAGCGAGGGGCTTCCTCAGAGTCTCAACAGTATAAATTTTGCGGTAGAGATGACGCAAACTGTGTGCTGAGTTGGGAATGAGGAAGTTGAGGTCATCTTTTGGCATCGGAAGTGGAGTTTTAAGATTTTTATCAAAGAAGTAGGCGTAGTGGATGTCAGGATCGCCAGGCTTGGCCTTCAAGTCGGCCGTATACATGAAGTGCAGCGCATCACAATAAAGTTCCATGCCGAAAACGCTCTGGGGGTCACTGAATATTTCCAAGAGAAATTGTTCCGGGTCACTGATGAAGGCGCCAGGTTGCTTCATCACAACACACAGCTCGTGCATGCTGATGTTCAATCCCAACTTTTTCGAGTTCCATGCATCATGCAAGAATGGCAGCCTAAAACCCCGATACCCCCTGACCGCTGGCCCATCTTCGTACAAAAGGAACGCATACTCCTGCAGCACATGCTGCTGACCGGCAGACGCCATACTGGGACGAGGGCTTCTTTGGTCGTCATACCAGAAAGCTTGGCCGTGTTTGAACATGCAGCAGTGGAAGAAGTAGCGGCTTGCTAGTGAGCCACTGTAGATAAGGGTAGCGAATCCAGCACTGACGAGTTCCTTCTCTATGTACGTCAACTGTAATACAGTAAAAATTATGCATGTGTCACTGAACGGCGAGAATATTCTGATGAGCAGGAATGATAATAAATGTTGCAAAGGAAATCAATTTTAGTGCAGAGAATAATTTATGTGACTGAAAATATTCTTGCTACTTAGAGTGGGTCAACAATGACGTATATTTTAATTGAGCAATGTGAAAAAAGAGACCGAAGTTATTCAGGATATACTTTTATAATTCGTTTTGTCTTTTGGTTTTAAGATTTTTCAACAATAAATACAAATTTATACCAATTTGGTAGAGAGGCTACAAATTGACTGGAAGTCAGTTCGACTGCCGGGAGTTGTCAAGCAAGTCTGACTGCATGGATTATTTATTAGAATGGGGAAGTTGCTAGGTCTTCAAGAAAACGAATGACAGGCTCATTTACTTTGAATATAACCGATTTGAATCTCATCTTTTGAATACTAAAAAACTGTTTCTTCATCCAACATTTAAACACGAGAAAATACAGTAAATTTTGAAAAAAAGGCCCAATAACATTTAATGAAATATGTCTGCTATTCAATCTCTCAGAAGCATAACTTTAATCACCTTTATTTCGTTAAAAAAGAAAAAATAGTCTACTACTGGTACATTATTCACCGAAGCTAAGAACACTGTTTATAGAGCCTATAACCTTCATAGAATTTGAGGCAATGCTGACCATTTCTTATTCTGCCAAACCTTCTTGGCATAGCTCTTAAGACAATACTGAATATTGTTATAACATAAAAATGTAGCATTTATCGCGCTTAATAGCGCAGCGAGCTTTCAATGATCCCAGCGCTAAATGCGCAATTTAACATGGAGCTTTACCTGCTCCAATCCCCGGACGCGGTGATTATAACATTTACAGCATTTAAGAGCGCAGCGAGCATTAAATAGTAGCATTTACAGCATTTAATAGTGCAGCGAGCTGTCAATGATACCAGCGCTAAATGCGCAATTGAGCATGGAGCCTTACCTGCTCCAATCCCCGGACGCGGTGAGTGCAGGACGCAAGAGAGGCAAAGTAGTGCAGGGAGCTGTCAATGACGGTGCTGAAGACTATCACTACACGCAGGTAGTTGTTGCCCTTGCGGATCAGGTCAAGTAGGAAGGCGCGAGCATCGCTTCCATAGGCTGGAATTAAAAAGTTATATACATTATAAGAAATATAGCTTTAGCTTTCATTCTGAACTTGGGTCGAATGGAACAGGCCAACTAAAGAGTACCTAGATGAACAAAAGATGAGAAACAGGATGGAGAAATGGAAGAAATGGCGGTCAGTTTAGGCATGAAGAAATAAAATCAGCAGAGTGAAGTATAAAGCTGTTGTTAGATGAAACTGGCACACAAATGCTAATCAGTCATAACATTAATAACAGAATGTAAAAAAAATTAATGTGATGACCAGGGCCTTAGAAATATTCACCAGCATTTATCCTTGGGCATGGAGCTGAATCAGCTAACAGGCTGGTCAAAGAAGGGAGCATTTCAAGCCTGATCACTCACCGACGCCATCTTTTGGCATGGTGTTGAGCAGGCTAACAGGCTGGTCAAAGAAGGGAGCATTTCAAGCCTGATCACTCACCGACGCCGTCTTTGGGCATAGTGTTGAGCAGGCTAACAGGCTGGTCAAAGAAGGGAGCATTCCAAGCGTGATCACTCACCGACGCCGTCTTTGGGCATGGTGTTGAGCAGGCTAACAGGCTGGTCAAAGAAGGGAGCATTCCAAGCGTGATCATTGAGCTTCTTAAGATCAGACAATCGCAGGGGCTTGGTGCTGGCAGCAGGGAAGTGGTCAACACTCTCCACCATGAACATTGGTTCCTTATTTTTTGAGTTTTTAGACCGAGAGGCTTTTAATGGAGTTTCTTTAGCCCCTTGTTCTGTAAATAAAAATAACAAGGCATTTCAGTGAATTGTGGTGTTAATTTAGCATAGTGGCAAGTGAGAAATTTTCTAGAAATCAGTTCATTTTTAATTCCCTTATTATGTTCAAAATTTTATTCAATATCTATGTGTGATAATGCTGGTATCCATTATACTTTGTTGGTCTTCTCATGGGACTCAATAAGGCTGAGTCTAAAAAAAGCCCTGCTTTGCATTATTTACAATTCAGTCATTGATTAGGCAACCTCAGGCTATATTTAATTATTAGATTATGAGCTTGAACTTGCCAGCTGGTTGGATGACACTAGTGATGAATGCACGACACCACACATGACCCTTCCCTGGGACGTCCAATTTGGCAGCTACAAAACTCCCAACTGCATACAAGTAAGGAAAAATGTAGACATAATACTGTTCATATACTTGGGCAAGAATTGAAATTGTGCATTTCCACGAATGTAAATTAGTTGTGAAACGGTTCAACTTAGTTATTTTATAATACAACTAGCATGCCACTGTCATGTTATATTTAATTACATTTAAACTTTGCTTTTCAATCAACAAAACATGCTTTCAAGTGGGTATTTTCAAATACCTATTCTTATTTTATAGTCAAATCAATTTGAGTACAACTAAGCTTGTAAACTTTACATATTTAACATTGTTCCTTAGCTCCAGAAGCAGAGGATAACAATTAGTTAATCCACTGCAATATTAGCAGTGACATTGTTAAAAATTAGGAGCAATTTATTGCAAGGACACCTAGCCTCACCAGCAAGTTTGTCCAATTTAGGTGGCTTGGAGCGAGGGTTGCAGATGCCCAAGCTCTCCATTTGTTCACACATCATGTCCCGCTGGTCAGTACGTACCCGCAGCTGAAGGCACTCAGACACGCTGATAACTCGCACCCATGCCTCAGGAGGATACTGTAACTGAAACACCAACATAATTAGCAACAAGTTCACAAAGATGAGTTGAATTAAAGTTTAAATTTACAGCATAAATTAAAAAAATCTAACTATGACCAATATGAAGGTTATTAAAGCCATTATTAAACAAAGAAATACATTGATCAGTTTTTATGTGAAATGTCAGTTTTTATGTGAAATAATCTAATGGATGTTAGCATTATCACTGCATTATTGAATAGGAATACAGAGGAAGATGGGTGAAAGAGGCCAGGATATGGGTTCACCACAAATAGGATACGGTACTTAAGTTAGCAGTTTTTCAATGAGTTTTTAGTTCACAAATTAAAAGGCTGACTTTTGTGTTAGGCATAGCATGCAACAGGAACTTCTCTTCTGTTTTAAAGCTTCAGATTTAAGTGAATTTAAAAAAAAATGCTTTTTTATTTTATTTGATAACAAGCAATTTTCTAGAATCTACATTAAATTAAAAAAAAACCTTAAAACTTAAAATAACACACTAAATACATATCTCACAGTGATAAAATGATTGAGAAATGTATTTTCTGCATGAAAAATACTCTCAAAAATTTATTGTGTAGTCAAATTTTATATTAGATCACATACTAATTGGAGATTTAACTTACACAAGTCATGTTGTTAGCCAGGAATGCAAGTGTGTCAGGATTATGGGATGGAATGGGTCGCATTTTGAGAAAATCTACATTCCTTAAGTAATTAGGAACAAGAGGCTGCCCATCTGATGCTGGCACAAATACAAGCCCATCCTCAGGCTGTGGCCATTTTCTTCTCTGATCATATGAATCAGAGTCATCCCCTGTGTGGTACACTGGAAAGCAGTGGTTGTCGTAGAAGTGGCAGATTTGTGGTTCATCAGGTCTCAGCTCCGTAGCTGCTTGGTTGATATCGGGCAAAGTAACACAGTGACCATTTTGACTGGGAACTGAATTGGACCCATTGCTCCAAGTGCTGCCATAATCTACTGTGTTTTCTGATACTAAACTATCTATGGTTGAACATGTGAGAGCATCAAAACCTTGTACATATTCATCAGGATTTTCAATTCTTGTGCTGCCACCTAAAACTGCATCTGTCTTATTCACTTGTCCATCAGCTGCCAAAACAAAGATCTGAGGCATTTTAGCTGAATTCTCTGATGAATCCTGCGAATCTTGCTGCACTTCTTCATTTACAAATTTTAAATCATTGGGCTCTGTTAAAACTGGTTCAGAAGATGCTTCAGAAACAACAATTTTTAAAGCAATATTTTCTGTTATGTTTGTGTCTGAAACAGCAACATCGCATGCTTCAACAGCTGTATCAACTGAGTTTGAGTGCACATCTTCAGAATTTGAGACAATGATTGGTCCAATTTCAACTATAGAAGACACAACTGAAGTAGATGCATCCTGAGAGGATGCAATAAATTTGCTCACATCAGACATTGTATGATTGCTTGATGAAGAGTCACTACCATTCATGACAAGATGGCTATTTGATGATGAAACTATCACTTCTAGGCTGGTCAGATTTGTCTCCGGAATTAAAATATCTGGTAAATCCTCAGTGTCACTCAAATCTCCTTGAAGTGGAGTAGATGCTTTCTCTGAAGGTTTTTTTTGTGTATCACTTGAAGCTGCTACAGCCAATTGTTTATCTTCTTTAATAGCAGTAATTTTTTCTTTGGAATCTTCTTGATAATCTTGAGCTTCAGTTGGAGTCAGAGATCCAAGGTGATCATTGTTTAGTTGATTCTGAAGGCTGGAGGTTTTAGCTTGGTCAGTTTCACTGGAGCAGGCAGACACTGAACCATTTAGAGATAATGGTTCATTAACTATGTTCTTTGAGCAGGATTGCAGTTCATTGCTTGGATCTGAATTTGCACCATTTTTGGAAGAACCAGAATCATTTATTTCTTTTTTGGAGTTGCATTCTAGGCCTTGCAAAACATCTTGTTCCAGTGCCTGTATAATTCCATTTTTGACACTATCAGCAGTAGAGGGTTTATTATTTACATAATTCTGTTTCATACTGTTTTTGGCATCATTAGTGGTTTCTTTTGAATTTTTAGAACAAGTTTTTCTTCTTAGCAAATAGATGGCAAATAATGCAGAAAAAGATGCACCCACAACTAAGACTATTTTTTTTAACATTTTGCTTGATTACCTGAAAAGAATAAATTACAATTGTTAAAAATAAATAAAAGACATCTTCTCTCTTTAAAGTTATATATATCCAATATTATGCTAAAATGAAGAAATGATGAAATTAAATACTGGGTTGAAAATAAATTTTTGATTTGCATCTTGGCAATACCATATGCATTGATACTGATGCATGAGTCATCACAGCAGAACCGTGCTTTCATTCCAAAAATTTATTTCACAAGGAGAATATCCCATATATAAATGTCAAGAGCTGTCCTCTACGGCCAACCCAAAATTATTTTTTCATCATTCTTATAAAAGGATAGAATACTTTGAAATTTTTCTAAAATGTGAGCTTAGAATATTATAAGTTTGAATCTTTCACAGATATTGGCTTTTAGATAGCAAGCAAAAGTATTTAGAAGTAAAAGAAGTTCATTCAAACTCTAAAATGCACATAATCAAATTCAATTCTCTGCATTTGCTTATTTACATTATCATGTGCTTAAAAGACTTATGACTCATGTCAAGAAAAATATTCTAGTTGCTACTACTAGGATTAACTTCAAGTTAGAGATGTGGCTTATATATAATTTGTGTGTACAGCTTGGCAAATGAACTTGCAGTTTGAAGAATAATCAACTTAGGGCTCAAAAATGACTTTCCATGGCCTGGAAAAGCAATTTACAGCATAGGGACATGAAGCATAGCTATACAGTCAAACAGGGTAAAAAGGGATGGTTTTGAGCATTTATTGTTAATAACCTCTAGCCATGAAACATTTCATAAACAAATTTGGGCTCATTTTAAAGGTCTTTGCAAGGGCTATCGTATGGCATCTCCAAAAAAATTCTATGTGCTATTTGTAAGGTGCTAGACAAAATATAAAAGGCTCCTGAATCAATTTGGAAATGGGGTAAAAAGGGGTACACTCTGCATTCAAAGCATGCAGAGTGTACTCGTCTATTACTAACTGTACTCTGAAGTCCTCCTCTTTCTTAGTAGATGATGTAAATGTAGAATAAATGCAATTTTCTGTGATTTTTACTTGGTTTTCCTTCATTGATATAATATTACCTTATCCATACATTACCATGTCATTAATGTGATATTACTGTATCCATGAACATGCCATTGAGCATTAAAATCGACCTTGTCCACTGCAAGCTTCATATCAGCAGCCATGCAGCATTTCTTCTGTATCTGTAAGCTTACAGGATGGTTTGTAATTTTGCACAATTTTAATTGAGTCTAATGTTTTAGTGACAACCATCATATGTTTTGATGAAATAAATCATAGTTTAGGTCAATTACTTTTCAATGCCCGGTGCACAATTCTATATATAGCATTCTATGTACAATTTTGTGACGACCGATGATGCACTAATTTTTATATAAGTGAATTTTTTCACTGAGGGAGTTAAATGTAATCAAAATTCTTTGTTGTTAATAAATTTTTTTGTTAACTGGAGCCTTTGCTAACTGAGGTTCTACTGTAAATGCATTTTAAGGGTGTCCTTAATTACCCCGGGGGGTAATTTACCCCATTTCTGCGCGTTGCACAGAAATGGCTGCCATTTTCTTTTTTTTAATGAGATACCGTCAACCGGGGTAACTCGGGACTGGCAGGGTAATTCGGGACAGTCCTCCGACACGGCGTAAAACTGTTATAGTAGCAAAACTAATTGGAATATTGCAAAACTAAAAATAGTGGCGTAAACGTCAACATTTTTCCTATCTATCTAGTATAAAGGGAGTCAAAAAATACGACATTTACTAGCTTTGAAAAATTCCTGAAAAGAATGGTGAAAAGCGCTATTTTGAAAAGTTACTTCTGCTAAGGTCTGGAGCAAAAAAAATATTCGCTGTATTAAAAAATTTTACTTACATAAAAGTTGCACCCAGGTGTCGGCTTGAAAACGTAATTGACAGATTTTGCCTATCTCATTCCAAAAAAAAAAAAAATGGCAGCCATTTCCGCGCAGTGGGGCTATTCGGGCCACCCCCCCGGGGCTATTCGGGACACCCCCAAAAACGCATTTACAGTAAAACCTCAGTTAGCATAGGCTCCAGTTAAGAAAAAAATGGATTAAAAACAAAGAATATTGATTACATTTACCTCGTTTGGCGAGAAAATTTCACTTATCGAAAAATTAGTGCATCATCGGTCATCACAAAATTGTGCATAGCATGTCATGTATAGAATTGTGCACCAGGCATCATAGAATGAAAAGTAATTGACCTAAACTACGATTTATTTCTCCAAAAGATACGTTGGTTGTTGCTGAAACATTCCTTTCTGTTTCAGGTATGTTTTTCACGATCTTTTTTACTATAGTAAATTCACTTAACCCAATTGAATTGATGTGAAATTACGAGCCGTCCTGTAAGCTTACAGATACGAAAAAAATGCTATAAGGCTGCTGATATGAAGCTTGTAGTGGACAAGGTTGTTGTAAATGCTCATTGGCATGTTCATGGATACAGTAATATTGCATCAATAATACGATAATTGCACATCAATAATACGGTAATTAATGTATATGGCAATATCATATCAATAAAGGAAAAACAAGTAAAAATCACAGAAAATGTCATTTATTCTACCTCTACATCATCTACAATGAAAGAGGAGGACTTCAGAGTACTGTTAGTAATGGATGAGTATGCTCTGCATGCTTCAAGTGTTTTAAAATGAAGTTTTATTCCCAGTGTCCCGAATTGCCCCGTTCGACGGGGCAATTCGGGACACTCTTTTTTTGCTTCTGGCACCTTAGGAATAGCATATGGAATTTTTTCGACAATGCCATTCGATAGCCCTCGCAAAGAGCTATAAAATGAGCCTAAACTTGTTTATGAAATGTTTCATCGTAAGAAGTTATTAATAAAAATTGCTCAAAATCGTCCGAATTACCCCGGTTGACGGTAGGCAAATTCTGTTAATTATGTTTTCAAGCAAACACCTGGATGCAACTTTTATCATTTTATGCAAGTAAAATTTTTCAATATGGCGAATATTTTTTTTGCTCCAGACCTTAGCAGAGGTACTTTTCCAAAATCGCACTTTGCACACTTTTTTTCAGTGATTTTTTACAGATAGTAAATGTTTGATTTCTTGACTAGCTTTATACATTATAGATAGTAAAAATGTTGAAGTTTACGCCACTATTTTTAGTTTTGCAATATTTTGATTAGTTTAGCTGCTACATTTTTACGAAATGTGGGACGTGTGTCCCTATTTACCCCGTTTGATGGTATAGAGGGTAGAGTCTGGTAGATTTTTAGGACATAAAACTAGGGTAAACGTGGTATATTCCAACATCATGGATTCATGGGTAATTCCGACACTTCTCAACTTTTTTCCTTTATATTAGGGAATTAAGCTTTTTCTTAGTTCCATGCATTCCTTGATGGTTGCAATAGTGACGTCATACTTTTGCGCGCCATACCCTTTTTTTTGGATGTAGTTAATCTGCAATAATACCACAAAATTTTTCTATGTCAAATAGTTTTTGAGTTGTGGGGGTTTTTGTTAAAAAAACGAAAAGTGGTCTAAGTTATCCCGCTGGTCTAAGTTACCCCATTTTATGGTACAAACTTTACAAAGCTAATGAATAGACTTATCAATAATTGTTTACCCAAAAATCCCAAAGTGCCACAAAGTGGTAAACACCACCTTGGCCTGTTGGCCAACGGCCGTTATTGAATGCAATAAGTGCCCTTTTTAGCCTCCCATTATGGTCCATATACTGTTATTGTTAGTTACCATGCCTTACCATGCCTGGTTGCCTGCGCCCTGCGTTGCTGCGTTATGCGTATGCGGTATGCAATGGTATAATATAGGCCTACATAGTGTAGGGGCAAAGCAGAAAGTTTTTTAGACTCTGTGTCTGTCTCAAGTTCATTTTTGAGTCCTATGAGTAGACCAGTAAAGTATCATGGATACCATCATACCAGCAGCCAGTATGTGTTAGTAGGCTAGCCTAATTGCAACATGAAAAATAACCTTTCAAAAAGACTAAAAAAGCTGAAAAAAAATCATGAAAAATCATTGATTTTTTATTAAAAAAAGATAAAAAAATCACCAACCCTGATTTTTGAGCATTTGTCAGAGTGAGTGTTGATTGTCATTTGTTCACAGTGATGGAACATAGGGATTTGGTAGGTTTGCATTCTAAAGGCTTTTACATAAATACGGCAACATTTTGTGACGTTTCATCGTTGCCAACACGTACTACGGTGTTTTGAGAGTCACCTAAAGCAAACAGAACTTGAGTAATGCATACGGTTATTTTTTTATAGTTTGTCATTTCTTGATGCGTCCTTAATGTGACAGAATATACCGCGTTTACCCTAGCGTGCATTGTCTCTCTTTGGATCTCAATATTTTCCCGCTAGGCCAAGACCTAGTGTTTTGGCAGTAGTTTGACACGCAAATGTATGACGTCACCATTTCAACCATCAACGAACGCATGGAAGTTGAAGATGGAACTAAAACAAAGCCTAATATAAACAAAAAACTAAAGAGGTGACGAAATTACCCACGATGTCGGAATATATCGCGTTTACCCTATCTGTTACTGTTAGTCTGTTATCAGTGTTACGGGACTCATCAATTTTTAGAAGATTCACATTCCTGAAGTCAGTGAAGTGTTTCTGTATATTGAAGCCAGTTAAATGGTCAATATTTAGCTTCAATAATCAGGGTTGGTGATTTTTTTTATCTTTTTTTTAATAAAAAAATCAATGATTTTTCATGATTTTTTTTTTCAGGTTTTTTAGTCTTTTTTAAAGGTTATTTCATAAATTCATGTTGCAATTAGCCTACTATTGCTACTAGCTAACACATAGCCTACTGTCTGCTGGTATCCATGAACCATGATACTTTACTGGACAGCCATGGTATAATATAGTATAGTGTAGGACTGTAGGTACTAGGTAGTAGCAAAGCAGAAAGTTTTTTAGACTCTGTCCTCTGTGTCTGTCTCAAGTTCATTTTTGAGTCCTATGAGTAGACCAGTAAAGTATCATGGATACCAGCAGGCAGCAGACAGTAGGCTATGTGTTAGCTAGGTAGCCTAGTAGAATTAGTAGGCTATTTGCAACATGAAATACCTAACCTTTAAAAAAGACTAAAAAAGCTGGAAAAATAAAAAAATCACCAACCCTGCTCATTGAGTATTTGTCAGAGTGAGCGTTGATTGTCATTTGTCACATGTCCATAACAACCTAAACGCTAAAATTAAAACTAAATTACCGGCTCTGTGACAGTATGACTCATTATTCATTAATAAAGCTTCAAGGAGGAGCATAGATCCTGAATCAACTAAACTGTCCGAAATTTAATTAAAAGATCGCTATCGTCAGTCGTGCAGCGAGCCAGCGACAAGCGTAAAATTTCAGTTTAATTACTGGCAAACCGCAAAATCGACCTTATCCTGTCACAAATCATACTACTACGAGCATACATCAAAACACGCGGTAAGGCCGAAGGCGGGCAACGGCCGGAGGTTACATTACGTAAGGTGATAGCCACAGCTGCGGCATCAAAAAGTAACAATAACAATATTTGGATTTCCAAAGACAGGAGAAACCAATAAATTCGTACGTTTCTAGCGCATTTTCTCATTTATGGAAAAAATGCACTATTCAGTCTATTGTGCTCGCCATGTCCGTCTGTCTGTCCGTGACCTCAAGTTTTCGTCGACGAGAAAATGCGCTCTCTGTCACTCACTGCAGTGAGTACTGAGTTATATTTTTTTATAAATCTAAGGTGTGAAATTTGTATTTTTTAAACATCTCATATAAGTATTATTGAATTATTTCCGATTCTCAAATCACTATGACCATACATTCACACACAGGAAACATTAGCCGTGGGCTTCCTCAACTTGCAAACTGCATGTTGGATCCTCCGAATAATTCTTTTCTAATCTGGTTTTCGATCATATAAATCAAATAAATGAAATGGGAAAAGTTTTCTTCTACTCGGATTGCTTGAGCTATTTTACAAGTTGGTGCATGATAAAAACTCGAAGAAAACGGTGGCACCTGTCCAACATCTTTGTGGGCAGTTCATATTTATCGTTAAAGCCAATTAATCATATCGAACTAGCGACTTGGACAACTTATGAGCCGATCTCAAGATATCTTCAATTAAATCGTGGTGCACCATAGCTCATCCTAATGGTGCACCGTTTATTGCATCGCTCTAAACAGTTAATTTCATCGCTTCAGGTCTAAGCATCGCTCCATGGGTCTTCTTTAAACTGTTGCAATACGTGCCAATTAACTAAAGTTTAGTTAGTTGGCTTGTATTGCAACAAATCGTAAGACTTATGAATAAATACAAAGAAGGATAATAACACTACTCCATCGAAACGTTGTCTGAGAGCGCACTTGACTGGCTATCAAATACTAACAGTGTACCAGAACATCACATGATGATGATGATATACATCGTCAATGACAATAAAATGACAAAAAACTGCTACTTTAAAATCATGTCTAAAAATTTTTCTACAATTTTTAATTCAGTAAGAACGTATATAACATTAAATAGAAGGTTATAACTCCTACGAGACACATAACCTTTATTTGATTAATTAACTATATGGCTGATTGTGTGTTATTGATTCCTCATAATAGCTCTAATTTCGATACTGACAAGCGTCTTAAATGGTCTCTGATAACACAGGAGACGTCAAGAATTGCGCTTACTCAAATAAACTAAGCACAAAACAAGTCAATTTCTTATTAATATAGGTCATTATTGTACGTGTCGAGAAGATACTGCTTTCAACCAACCTGCAGTAAGGAAAACTATTTACAAAGCTTATATTTCCACTTCAATCCTTCGTGTATCCGACACCAAATGTCAGGGTAAGATCATTAACGATCAGAATAATGAATTATGTTGATATAAAACATCTACCTATTTTATGCCTACGAAATATTCTTTGTTGAAAATTTTCAATTTAATGGCTTGATTTACATTAGCAATCTAGCTTTTATGACGAGTGCTTTGGAGCACAGGGGCAAAAATGTTGGTCTCTCGTTAGCGTAAGTTACTCATGAATAAACTTGATGAATCGGTTCTTACTTAACATTTTAGTAAAATTAATACAGGCAGAATGATGTAGCAAGTAATGCAATGAAGGCATTTTAGTCTTTGAAGATATCAAAGTAGACTAGACCGACCCAGTTGCTGCGGTCATGCTAGTCTTCGAGGATCTCAAAGTAGGCTATCTAGATTCTAGACCGACCCTGTTGCTACGGTCTTGATAGTCTTCGAGGATCTCAAAGTAGACTAGACCGACCCTGAGGCTGCGGTCATGCTAGTCTTTGAGGATCTCAAAGTAGACTAGACCGACCCTGTTGCTGCGGTCATGCTAGTCTTTGAGGATCTCAAAGTAGACTAGACCGACCCTGTTGCTGCGGTCATGCTAGTCTTTGAGGATCTCAAAGTGGACTAAACCGACCCTGTTGCTGCGGTCGTGCTCAATGTTTTTGGCCCAGACTTTGCACTCGATGTTGATGAGGATGTTGGGAGCCAAGCCCATGAACTCCAATGCCACGACAGGGGAACGATAGTCAAGGGAGTTGCGGTAGGGGAAGAAATATGTGGGGAATCCGCGCCACGGGTGGTATTTGATTTCCCCCAGATATTCCTCATCCGCGGGGTTCTCTCCAGTACACGAGACCCAAATCAGCTGCAACAAGTTACACGTTATTGCCTTTATATTAAATGCTTGCCTTGATATTAAATGCTATCCATTGTAGTCAAATCTTGTGAATAGCGTCAAATTTCAAATTTGTCAAAATAAAATATGTGAATTTTCAAAAAAAGGCTAGGTGCACACCTTGGGCATTCGTCCTCCATTTTTGGCTTTTTCACCGGTGATGTAAGCCTTGAGGTCAGAAGGCATGTCGTCAGGAAGCTCCTCCAGAGACTTGTAAACATCAGGCTTCCAGCCTAACATCTGTAGTACAATATTGATCGTTTATAAAATGCAGTCACAAATGTGAATAAATGCACATTAATAATGAAGTTTAGGGTGTCAGTGAAATAAAATGTCACGCATAAATTGATGACAGACTAGTACGAATAAGTAGCTACCAATCGGCAATCGCATATCTACAAATAAATAATCACTTTAGCACAAAGTGGGGAATTTGACAACAGGAGTGATTGGATTGATACTTCAACCGAGACATGGAAGTCTCGTAGAAAATTCCTTGATTTTTTTTTATGAAATTCTTCAGCATACTACTAACGGGCGTGAAAGAAAACTGTAAACTACCTACTTCAGAAAGTTTTATTACTTTGTTGAGTTTAAGAAGGACACAAGGAGAGCCACTCATGTAACCCCATTTGTTGGCCTTGTTGCAGGTCCCTCCCAGTAGGCTGGTTCTGAAGCTGCAGAATTTGCCCTCCTTGGCAGGCTTGCCGTCGCTGCAGTCGACGCTGTTCGTCGCGTTCTCGTACGCTGGACGGGAGGGAGGTTCGGGTCAGGTTGGATCGCCAGTATCGGCGATACAAATTTCAATGATAAGTTACATGTGATTTATATCTATGTTATAACAAAGTTTAACTCGAGCTAGTACGCCACGTAATGCACTCCTTCATGTAAATAACGTGGAATCAACGTTTATTGGGCGTAATTTAGCGTTCCAATGCTCAATCTATGTTGATTCAACATAAAATTTTTGCTGATTCAAAAGCAATGCGTGTCATTTTGACAGGCGTCATTTCGACAATCATCGAATTACTTTGCCAGGTACACAGACACATAAAACTTAGGCCAGGTCATTATAAGTTGCACGGCAACTTATACTCATTGTTTAAAATACACGCTACTGTAGCGCAGTGATTAGCGCCACCGCTAGCGTAGTGGTAGCGGCACCGAGATGAGAGGAGATGGCCGTGGGTTTGAATTTTAGAAAGCTCGTTTTATTTTTCCATGTCGCTGTTGGGCGGCCCTCAGTGCTTTCAGCATGGCCATGGGTCGGTGTCCCTAAACGAACTCAGTACAATGCACTCTACTAATACATATGCTGCTAACAATGTACATGACAATACGCACTCAGCCGACAATAACACGGCATTACGCAGGCAGCAGCTACAATACGTACGCAGCAGCTGCAATACGCAGGCAGCAGCTGCAACACGTACGCAGCAGCTGCAATACGTACGCAGCAGCTGCAATACGCAGGCAGCAGCTGCAGTACGTACGCAGCAGCTGCAATACGTACGCAGCAGCTATACGTACGCGCCATGAAGTCGTTGAGGGAGGTGACCCAGTGCTCAACGTCCGCCTCGTCGCCGTTCTTGTACCAGATGAGCGTGGACTCGATGTTGTCGGCGCGCTGCAGAGGGCGGAAGCCCAGGGCTGTAAAAATTAAATAAATACACATCGGTGCTATGTGAAAGGCACTTTATGGATGAAAAAGTAGATTTTGAAAACATTTATTGAGGTTTTTAGTAATACGAAGATAAATGATACTTGCCAAAATCATGTTTTATGGGATTGCAGTAGTCGTTGTCGCTGACGCACTATTCTAAATTCTGTATAATGCATTATAAACTTAGAATATACCATAAATATACCATAAATGCTAATATTGATAGAATGTGCTTCCAGTAAAAATAACGCGCACAAAAAATAACAATACTCCAATAAAAATAATAATAATATCTTATGCCATGACCTATGTAGCATACCAGGATGTGAAAGAAGGCTGCTGCCGTCGCCCGGGGTGTAGGTTGGGCTGTTGTTGAGGTCGAGAGTCTGGTAGAAGATGGTCAGCATCACGGCGAAGAAACTCGCCAGGAACGCGTAGAAGAACAGGTAGAAAACGCCGATCTTCACTGTAATGTACGGTACAATGATCACGTTGAGCTAAAGCTGGAATACGAAACGCATAACCTTCACTTGAATGAGCGCTTCTTATTACGTGGAGAGCTAAAACGACAACTATGAAACGACCACCTTCATTGAAGTGAACCGTATAGGTTAAATGGACAGTTAAAACGTGAAAGTACATGCACAGAGTCAGCGTTTACTGAAATGAATTGTCCATTTTCTGCTAGAAATTCTGTACGTTCGTATAAAAAATCAATCTACAAAGTAATGAAATGCTCATTTGTTAAATAATGATAATTAATTGGTTTATTTGGCCAAGGTAATCTTCAATGAGATTATTTTTACGGCTTTCAAACTGAAGGCAACATGCTTGTTTGGGTACGAAACAAAGGCCGAAGTTCTACTCGTAGACAATTATAGTTGTTTGTTCCTGGCAAACTTATATTGAATCTCATATTGAATCACAGGATCTTACTCACTGAACTAAGCGGAAGTTTTATAAACTGATGTAATCATACGTAAGTTGGATAAATATTTAGTTAAGCGTTGGTTATTTTTTTTAAACGCTGGACAATCCAAATATTTACTAGAGTTATTGGGCCGTAACACATAATTAAATAATAAAACACAGGAACAGTACCTGTTCGAAATCATGATTCGAAGTATCAAAGTATCGAACAATTCTCGTTTGAAATCGTAACTTTAGGACAGAACTCGCGTCCTAAATACGGAGGCCTTCCATAGGAATTTAGAATCTTTAAGCTCACAAATAAATCATTTTCTCGAACAAAAAAATTAACCCTGTTTGGTAAACAATAGATCCGAACGATGCTATAATTCGAGCCCCTTCTATTACAAATTATACAATACTGAGGTTGTACTCTTCGTTGTACATGCCTTCCGCTAGAACAAATTTCAAGCTGTGTATATAACAGGGATCTGAATAGAGCGTGACATGGGGGACTAATACAGAAGCTGGCATCAAAAATATGCTATGTGACTTGGCTGGCACTAGCGCGCATGAGCGGCTAATATTAGACCTTCTCAGAGGCTTGCTGTGGGACACGTCTACCCACGTGGGACCTGTACAAGCTACGTGTTGTCCATGATATCACCTTTACTGTTTACAAGAACCTATATTGCATTCCCGCATACCTTCATAGTTTCTGCCAGAGAACCTATATTGCATTCGCGCACACCTTCATACTTTCTGCCACAGACCCTATATTGCATTCTCGCATACCTTCATACTCTCTGCCAGAGACCCTATATTGCATTCGTGCATACCTTCATACTTTCTGCCACAGACCCTATATTGCATTCGCGCACACCTTCATACTTTCTGCCACAGACCCCATATTGCATTCGCGCATACCTTCATACTTTCTGCCAGAGAACCTATATTGCATTCGCGCACACCTTCATACTTTCTGCCACAGACCCCATATCGCATTCGCGCATACCTTCATACTTTCAGCTACATAACTTATATTGTATTCTCGAATGCCTTCATACCCGTCACCTGAGTACCGTTGTTGTATTCGTGAATTTTACTTTCTACCTAAGTCTACCTTATACGCGAGTGTATGTTCAGATGTACATCCAACCTGAGCATCTCTACCGTCTTCGCCAGCATCTACTTTGTACCTGAGTAACTTTACGGTACATGTGATTATATTCAACTGGATAACTAGCCTTATACGACGAATTCTAGGCCAGTCAAATTCTAGGCAATCCATCGAATTCTAGGCAATAAAAAAATTATGAATAGCAGTCAATTTCATTAAACAAGCAAATTGTAATCGTACTATAGAGAAGAAAAAAAGTGAATACCTAGTAGTTAATTTTGTTGAACACGCTCATTTTTAAACATAGATTANAAAGTGAATACCTAGTAGTTAATTTTGTTGAACACGCTAATTTTAAACATAGATTACTAATCACAAATGATTGAAATTAATGAAAATTTTTACTATTACATTATGCAGTCAAGTTGCTAAATGACTTAATATATATTAAACTTACGCCATGATATGCCCGTTCGTCCCATAACAGTGCCATCATGTTTGTTGTACAGGAACGTTAAGAAAGACTCATTCTCATGCTCGTAAAATTCAGAGTCCCGTAACACCATGGCTGCTAGTTTGTGCCGTGCACGTCCGTCCTCACTCACCGCCAGCCAGCGACTGACGCCGGCGACGGTGCCCAACCGCACGGGCCTCGGGCAGTGCCAACGCGGGACGCGCGTTCAAGTGAGGGACGATCTTGCCAGACGATCGGTAGAAAAAATTTCTTCATGCATGTTCCCGGCATATTGTTCCCCTCATGCATGTTCCCGGTTAAAAAGAGAAGAGGGAGGAGTCTTGATTTATTTTCTTTGCACACAGTCGATGATTTGATTCGTTTTCAGGCGATTGTTCGAAAATGAAGAGGTTATAGGTATAGAAAATTGCTGAATAATGGAGTGAATTGTCTACAACGTAGAGTTTTCTTCCATATTACAGGTATGGGTAAACAACATAGGATATTTTTTAAACAAATTGATCGACTTTAGTGTTTAATACTATTTTTATAAAAATTTGTATAGTAAGTAATTCCAAGTACAAACCTTTTAACATTTTGTGAATAACATCCGAAAGAAAAAGGCCCATCACTAAAAGGTTTGCAGCGTCAGAGAAGTTTAATATCAAGCAAGAAAGTCAATAACACAGAAGTATAATCCCCTCTTAGCAACGTGCCAATCTTGGCGACAATGATCACTATGTATTCTAACTAGTCGGAAAAATTGTATCAGCTGATAATGCCTTTGTATCCAATATCCCAGTGAAGCAATGGCACGAATTGCCAGCTTCAAAGCAGTAACAGGCCGGTATGGAAAAGACAATCATGTATTTAGGAGTGAACGTTACTTGCGAACACTCTCGTGTCATTACGAAGTCGAGAATTTTTCTCCCAATGAATATTTTACCCATGAGCATGAAAGACGCAAATCTGTTACTCCTCAGTACAAACTAATGTGTTATTGTCAGCTTATTGGCTTGAAAATACCGCATCTGCATACGTGAACTGCTTACCAAAATACACAAACTGCGTACTAAAACGCACACGCTAAGAACGTACAAAAGTACGCACGTAATCTGCTAACAATGTACATGAACAAATTCAATGCATTTAATAACGCACATGTATGTAACTACCCAAACACAATAAACAGTTGAAAAAATTCCAACGGGGAATGAATCAAGTATCCTTCCATACTTAATATAATAACGATACATGGAATAGAATGGAAAAAATCAGCTACAACAAATTATCAACTATCGAGTGTAATAGAGACATTACGTTCATATGATGTTGAATAACTTCATATGATGTTGAATTAAGCGGCTGGGCATGATAAATCAGATATGGTATTCTCCATGCTTCTAAGATGCAAGTGATCATGCCCTTTTTTTGCACATGGCTCAATAAAAAAACTTCGTATGATTAAATGATAGTACAATTTTTTAATCAGCATTGAAAATAAAAGTAATAATACTGGAGCAATTCTAGAAAAACGTGGACTGCGCTATTTGCAGTATATCTTGTTCCACCTTGTCTTAATAAATTGCGGAGTTGAATAACTTATGAATTTCCTATTCAGCATGCGCTGAAGAACTTTAAACATCAACCAGAATTTGTGCTCTAAATTGTCGGTGACAAGTCCTTCTTTTGAACGAACACAACATGACACAGAAACTTTTCTTACAACAATTTAAAATACGTATTTATCAATTATTGATCGAAGGATGAACACAATTGTAGTTCTCTTTGGACTTTCGACGAGCTCTTGATTCTGTCTCATAAGCTCAATGTTAAAAATAATAAAAAAATCAGATGCCCAGGAACGAGAGAGAAAGAGAGAGAATGGCAAATAAGAAGACGCAAATTTAAATTATCGGAATAACAGAAACGAATGCGCAATTTAAAAAAATTCATCTCCTAACACCATACATGTAGCAGCCCGAGCATTAACAGGAACAACTTGCAACCTTTCGTAAGCACAAAAACAAGCTACATCAGGAATATACATTATGCAGTAAGGAACAATTAACTGTGACGTGTTTTAGTTTTCAGTTTTGTTAGCACACGAGTTTTTAGCGCGTCAATGACAACGCTACGGGACATGTGAAGATCTTACTTCCATTGGGCAAAAAGGCCACAATTTTGAACACTTCGAGGCTACTAAGCTTACACTACAGCTACAACTGATGAACCAGAGCTTATACAAACAATAAATACTAGGTAAAAAAATAAATTACTACAAAGATTATTACAAAATGAGATATAGAATTTGATCACTAATGGCATGTCTCAGTCTATGTACAATTAGGTACCATAAAAAAAGTGTAGTCATGGTTGACACCTTAGAACGGAATGGTTCAGAGACAGGATAATTCGCTATTATCCTGGCAATTGTCATCACAGACCAAGTCAGGAACGGAAATGCCATCATCGAAAGCAGGTCTCAAATCAGAGTCTTTAGGAATTGGCAGCGCAATATCGACAGATGCAACGCCATCGGGAACAACCATACAAGGATCAGGTGTTGATGCAGGATGACCTTCACCTGGATCCAAACTTTGTGTCGCGAGAACTGGAATGAAAGAGTTGTCAGCAGCCGCGGTGTAACTTTGGTCAAGCACGGTGTTGGCACCAACAGAATCAATGGAGACGAGACCGAGCTTTGGATTATCTCCGCAGGAGAGAGAAGGTTCAGGAGTGCTAGCGGTTAAACTGACGTCAACCATGGAATTTTCTCCTCCGTTAGGTTCGGGAGCAGTGCCTGTTACAGCTACATTGACGCAATTCTGGGAACTTAAGAGATTGAAGGAAGTGTCGGCATTGCTTACAAGGGATGGGCCAGGAACTGGTGCACATGCTGCTGCGTCAGTTAATGTAACAGAACCCAAGGAATCCGTAAGAGTATGAATAACTGCTGGATCGTAATCCAGCTGATAATTGGATTCGCTGCTTCTATTATTATCATCTACGAGACTAATTTGCTCGACGTTGTGTAGGTTAGTTATTTTAGGCTCTTTTTCGACAAGTTCATCACTTGAAGCCTTTGGTTGAGAATTTATAATTGATTGACTAGCACTGGGTTCACCGTTTTGTGCTGACTCCTGAGTACCATTCGTGACGCTTGTCCCCTGAGTGCCAGTAAGTTGAGCACCACCAGTGCCAACCATCAGTGACGCGCGAGCTTCAAACCAGTTCTTCCACTTCTGGTGCTCCTCCTGATAGGACTTTAGTGGCACCACGAAGACTGAAATATCATCGATGGTGGCGTGCTTGTTGTCGCTTGTCCGCCAGTTTCGCTCGGTCAGCTTGCCTCTGGCGCCCATGACGAGGTCCTGTGCAGCGCTCATGTAGCGGTACTTGTGGCGACTTGGGTCACTGCTTGGGAAGTGGTGCAGCGATCGTTCCATGGACTGCAGTAGAGTAGACACGGCCCTCTCATTGGTCATTATGTCCCACAACCCATCAGTGGCTAGTATGAGAACGTCCTGGTCGCTCAAGTCTTCAAGTTCCAAGTCTAGTATCCGAACTTCAGGTTCACATGACAGGAAAGGCTTGATGTGTACATTGGTCAACTGACCTTTGAGGTCGTGGTCGCCAAAACCCCGAGTGACACCTATGGTGGCCATGACTCTGCTTCTTTTACCAGAGCCGCTGACCAGAGGAACTTTTAAGTCTTCCTCGGTAATTTTCTTGTACACCCAACCCCTTGCCATGTATGGTTGCCTGCAAAGAACTGACGCGCCCAACTCTCGTCTCAATGGACGTCGCACAAACTCTATTGGACTGTAAATGCCGCGAAGCAAGTCAGGATGCTGAGCGCCATGTTTACGTATGCGATAGTTCTCGCTTTCAGGAGTGAAGTCGTAGCTCATGCTGTGGGGCTTGCCATGCAGACAAGCGGTGGCCCGAGAATCACCGGCATTAGCCACGTATAATTTACCCATAATGAAAAGCGCAACGCACGCGGTGCAGCCGCCACCCACACCAACGCGTTGACGATCCTCTTCTATTTTTTTATCCATAAAATAAAATGACTGCTCAAGAGCGCCTGTCACTACGCTGGCGGTATCAACAGGTTGCTGCCAGGCAGGAATATCTTTTTTCAGCAAGTCAGGAATGATGAACTCTACAACTTTGCAGAGGTTCGTGTGTAGAATGTGATGCAGATGCTGGGATGCATAAACAGCTGCGCCCCAGCCAGCATGCCCATCAAACACAGCAAAGTAATAGTAAGGCACAGAAACGCCTATTTTTCCGCTACCTTCGTCAACAAATAATTGGTCTTCTGGTAGAGAACGGAAGAAATGCGGGCTGCCTGAGGGAGAGCTGTGAGATGTTGTCGGCTCTCCTTTGTCAGTACCATTACACTCACTTCTGCTGTGGGAATGAACATCACCCGATTCATCATTTGAGCAATCTATGGAAAAATGATTGGCATTGGAGTTATTAAAAATATTGTCTTCAGAGTCACCAAGGTCGGGTGATAATTCAGTCTCAATGTGATGATCTTCTAATACAAAGTCTGAAGGAGGAGTTTGTAGTGGATCAGAAAATTTTTCACCATGTTCACTATGTGCCGGCGTATTTTCATCCATTTCTCCATTAACCAGATCTTTATCTACACTGACGGCTTGTGACTCGTTATTTAAAGAAGTTAAGAGTGAATTTATTGAAGATTCTGGGGGGCAATCACTGCTACCAAGAACAGAAGCTGCACGAGATGTGGGTTCTATTAATGACTGATCTTGTCCAGGCTTTGCTGAAAACGAGCGAGAAGGAGGAGGGGAAGGCTTGCACGCCAGAGAACGGGACAAATATCCAACGTGTACACATCCTTGGTCTTCATTGTGCCTAGATTTCCCTGCATTAACGGCCCTATAAAATAAAAGTCAGAATTAGGTTTCAGACCTGCACAGATTCACAGATAAGATTTATATTGAAGCTTCCTACAGAAAAAAAGTACTGCTGCAATTTGCAGGAATTTTTTTATTGAAAATGGAAATACTAACATGAGAAACTAGTTTTTTAATATCTCTGAATTAATTTATTGCAATAAACCATGTTCACATCAGTACACATGCACAATAGAAGTCACAATTTCAACATCAGTTTTAATAAGCTCACTCTGCATAACCAGCATCCCAAGGTAGGAATGAACGAGGACAAATTATGGGCCTCATGGCGTGATCAGCCGTGACAGAAACTTCATCAGCGGAGCTTAGCTGAAGGAATGCAGGCCGGCAGTAAGACAAGCGCTGAGCAAGGAGAAACATGATTGACATTATAATCAACCTTTTATTCTGCTTACATATAATACTATCATGAATAAAAATATTAGAAAGAGATTCATTACTACTAATGACCAAATAACAAATGCTTCTATCCGTGATAAATTGTTGTTTCCTTTGATTTTTCTGTTTTTTATCACTCAAAACCATCAGCGTGGCAAAACATGGCCAACAAAACCCATTTGTAGGTAATACTTGAAGTAGAATTTCTGCAAAGGCTCATTGCCAATATTCTAATAGGTATTGTAAGGGGAAGCTTGGTCTCAGTAACTTTAGTTTGATATTAAAGAGGTTCAAACACAGGCCACACCACTAAAATATCATATAAAAAAGTTGCTGGACTTCATATAGGTACCTTTTTTTGTACCTTATATTAATAATATAAGGTTCAAAAAATAGTTCTTAAAAGCCTTCAAGTACAGGCCACAATAGAAAACATAATTTGATAATTGAACAATGATAAAACCATTTCACCTCTGATGACAAGATGCCATTTAAAACAAAATAACAGTTATTTGTCAATTGATCCCAAGAGAGGAACACAAGCCTCACAAGCAGCATCAGCTAAACTTTCCATGCTGAGTTAACCTGTCTAAATAATCATTGTTATGAAGTATGGAACCAAGTTGAAGCTAAGAGTTTATCTATCACATACAATGCCATTTTAACTGATTGGGTAGAATAAAAATAATGAAAAATCTAATACAATGTTTGTAAACAATAAATCAATACTTACTTTGTCACGGGATGACCTAGAAAATGGTCCGTCTTGAGCCACAGCACCATTTTGTTGACCAATATCATTTTCTGCAAAAGTAGGCGAGTCTTCTTCCACACCAACAGCACTGTAGAGAGCTGACTTCAATCTGTTGAACATCTTTCTCACATTCAGAGAGACTTGGGGGGGAGCTTTCTGCAAAATAATATAAAATATCAAAAACATAAGGCAATGAAAATAAGCATTGAATCATCAACAAGGTATTATTTTGTTTCTTAAACACTCAAGTATTTTGCCCATGATGAAATATTTAGAATTTTGGTCTGAAGAAACAAATTTTTTATTCTTTATTTTTTAGTATGACAGTTTTTGTTAAGTTAGTAACTGCCATCATTATTGGTGCCTTAATGGCTCTGTAGTCCAATTGTATTACTATGTGTTGGCAGTGGCATCAACATGCACTTGAGTCAAGTTTTATTATGCAGTAATGGCAGTAAGTAATAAATGTACCAAAATGTGCCAAAACATGTCAACTATACTCCATTTACCAAAACGTACCAAAAAATATAAAATGAACCCCAATTTGGAATAACCAGCAGACAAATCCTAGAATTGCAGGCAGAAACAATCATTTCAAAAGTGATTTAAAAAAATTGCGGGTTAAAACAGGTCATTTTTATTTTAAGCTGCAGATATGATGATTGGTGAAAATGCCATAGGAATGGGTGAAATGGGCATGATTCAGAGGCATTTTTGACCAATTTAAGGGTGGCTTCTACACGTTCTGCACAATTTTCCACTTAGGAAATGTACCAAATTGCCTAGGAATAACTTGGTTCATTGGTCAATAAATTTGCTCACTAGTAAACTATAAATAGAAAAAATATCATTTCTACTACTTCTCTACCACTACCCGTACTATGTTAAGTATTTGTAGTGATAAAATCAGTCCTTGCTTTGATAGCTTAGTACAGATCCAAGGTTTCTGAACACATTGTCATATGGGCCCCATATGCAGCAACTTTTCAAGTTCTCTGGAAGGAATAAACCAAATTTCAGGTTAATAAACTAATTTTGTAAATAGATATATAGGCATTTTTCTCAAATCCATTAATGTATGCTGAAGTTCAATTCTGTACAAGTTTGGAAAATTCAATAAATCTGTTAAGAAAATGAAATTTCCAATTGAGGTTACTGCTAGATTTTACATTTTGGCACTTGCCACTAGAATGACTTGATTTTGCAACCATGAAATTTTAAAATAGTCAACTGTAAAGTGGACAGAAAAATAACTTACTGAAATGGATTTCATGAAATATATAATAAAAATAATAAAATTATTATATACAGTACATATATTAAATAATAAAACAAAAAATTATTACCAATTATTTTACAAAAATTTCACAACCAACTTTAGATTGTGATTAATTCTTCATCATTATATAATCTAGCTGTTGCTGCCTGTACAGTCACTACAGTGTACAACTGTACTGTTCTGTACAATTGGTCTTGGAACTGTACAATTGGATAGGAGGTACTACCCAATTCATCTGGTGGAAATCTTGCAGTTCTGGAAATGGCCAGAAAGCTCTAGTGGCGGCGCTAATGGTATAAGTTTTCCACACTTGTGACTGTACTGTCTGTACATAGGTATATATCGCTATTCATAGGGGCAAATTTTTTTTAATTGGAAGCTTATTCATCAATGCGGCAAATATATTGGCTTTAATTTGAGGATGCCCTAGGAGCTACTAGGCTATGCTCAGTAGCTCAGGTCACTGAGATCAGGTGGCTGGGTGAGCGGGAGCCCTGGAGCCTGCTCGCCTCTGCCTGGGCCCCAAACCCAGGATGGTGCCGTTTTCCGCGGATTAATCCGGCGTACATGAGGTTCCAAGCCCCTTTACTGGCGCACAGTGCGGCGTCCAAGGAGCTAAAATAATGTTACTGCGGCACACACGCCCGGCGTACTTCCGTATCTGGCTTGTCTCGGCGTATGTCCGCATCTGGTTTTGAGCATTTTAGTGCATACCAATACAGTAATACGTTCTAAGGCGATTTAGTGCCTTCTAATGCGATCTAGTGCGTTTTAATGCGATATAGTGCGTTTTAATGCGATATAGTGCATTTTAATGCGATCTAGTGCGTTCTAATGTGATCTAGTGCGTTCTAATGCAATTTAGTGCGTTCTAATGCGATCTAGTGCATTCTAATGCAATCTTGTGCCTTCTACTGCGATCTTGTGCCTTCTAATGCGATCTAGTGCTAATGCCATCTTATGCCTTCTAATATGATCTAGTGCGTTCTAATGCGATCTAGTGCCTTCTAATGCGATCTTGTGCATTCTAATGCGATCTTGTGCCTTCTAATGTGATCTAGTGCGTTCTAATGTGATCTTGTGCCTTCTAATGCAATGATCTAGTGCCTTCTAATGCAATGATCTAGTGCCTTCTAATGCGATCTAGTGCGCTCTAATGCAATTTTGTGCCCTCTAATGCGATCTAGTGCCTTCTAATGCAATCTTATGCCTTCTAATGTGATCTTGTGCCTTTTAATGCGATCTAGTGCCTTTTAATGCGATCTAGTGCCTTCTAATGCGATCTTATGGGGTGAAGGCATCTTATGCCTTCTAATGCGATCTACTACCTTCTAATGTGATCTTATGCCTTCTAATGCGATCTAGTTAGACTCCTGCGTTTGGTATTTTTTTCTATCCGAGACGAGATGAGATGAGACAACAGGCTCTGTCCCGGTTCGCAATAAAAACTGGGACAATTTTCAGCCCTAGGTAGAAATTCCGGGACAATATCGAGATGAGACAAGACATCCCGGTTGAAATAGGTACCTTAAAATTTCCCAGAATTTATAGTCATTTTAACGAGACATAACGAGACGAATCAATTATTGATGTGGTGTAAACTTTGGCTCACCATCATACAGCAATACAGAGCTGGGCATCGCTACTTCGAAATGTTGCGGCCGCTACCACTACATGCTCTAAATGTAGCGGACGCTACCGCTACCGCTACAATTGCTAAAATTTAGCGCCGCTTTCACTACTGAAAATGTAGCGGCCGCTACACACGTAGCGCGCTACTGCCCACCTCTGGACTAACAACTAACATGTTGACACTAGAAACGGGCTGAGGTCGACAACATTACACCAAACTCTTTCGTACAGTTTTATTCTGTAATTTATATAATGTATGTATCATGCTGGTTTTTAAATAATATTTAATACTATTAAGTAAAATCTAAAGGCTTCATCTATAAATGTAGCGGTAGCGCTGTAGCGGCAAAACCTTGTATCGCTACTTAAATATGTAGAGGGCGCTACCGCTACCGCTACAATTGCTTAAATGTAGCGCCGCGACTGAAAATGTAGGGTCGCTAGTAGCGGCCGCTACATACTACTGACCACCTCTGCACGCTAATGCCCACCATCTCTCTACAACATCTACATAGCGCGCTACTGCCCACCTCTGCATTTATATAATAACTTGAGACGTATCCTTTAACTATTCTGATTGGAGCTTGGCACTTGAAATGATTTTTGCTACGAAGACATGTTGTGGTTTAATATGGTAGGTACTTAATCTTGACAGGCAAATAAAAATTGAAAAATGCTTTTTTTTTTCAAAAATTGTGTTCTATGATGGTTTGGAGGAGGCCATACTAGCTGCAGCTGGTGACATCGGCTGACTGGACAGACTTTGATTTGCCTCCAGCTCAATCACAGGATCAGATTCATTGATCTTGCCTTAAGCAATCTCCGTCGACAAAAAGTTTGGAAAGAAATATCAACAACATTTTAAAATACAACTAATTTTAAGTTAGAAAAAATTTAATAGTTTGATCTTCAAAAAAGAACTCGAAATAACCATGTGTATCCTTTCTAAATAACATTAAACAAGCCCAAGTGTTTATTAACAATTCAGGAAACTGTGCAATTGTGAAGATTTCCTGGAGGTGTAGCACAAAATTTTACTAATGGCAGAGATAATCTAATACTAGCTTTAGTATTATTAGAAATATCTTACCAGGACTCCACTCCACTGTCTACTAATTGGCCGACTAATCTACAGTTCTAGACACTGCGACTGCGTCCCTCCTCCCTGTGCGCTCTACGGCGCCTGAACGCGTTCCGAACGCGTAATAAACTTGACTCGTATTCGTACGGTTCCCATAAGTGCCATCGAAGCCTTAGTTAAGACTTAAGAGTAACATTTTTGACTCTATACTCAGCCATGCATACATTGACAGTTTTGCGGGTTTGTCGGACCACTAATTAACTGCCATGTCAGTTAGTCAGACAAATTTTGCTAAATCTGCAATAAACTCAATTTAACTGGTAAATGTCTATGGCCCTATTAGCAATAAAGGGCTAACTTGTCATTCTTCAATCCAGGTTTTCGAAATGATTCGTATCGTAATCAAAAAACTTGTTTTGTCTTAAATAATTAAGACAAATCTCGTCTCGTCTAGTTATGTCTCATTTCAAACTTGTCTGTCTCATCCCGGTTCATAATTTACCGGGACACAAGTTTTAAAGTCCGGGACAGAAGTCTTGTCTCAGTTCATACGTTTATTCCGGGAAAAATTGTACCCTCTGTCCCGTTAGTTTTTTCCCGGAATTTTCTCGTCTCGTTTTATCTATCGCCTTCTAATGTGATCTTGTGCCTTCTAATGCGGTCTGCCGCCATTTAATGCGATCTACCGCCATCTAATGCAATCTTGTGCCTTCTAATGCGATCTAGTGCCTTCTAATGCGATCTTGTGCCTTCTAATGCAATCTTGTGCCTTCTAATGCGATCTAAAACCTCCTAATGCAATCTTGTGCCTTCTAATGCGAACTTGTGCCTTCTAATGCGATCTAGTGCCTTCTAACGCGATCTAGTGCGTTATAATGTGTTATAATGCATTCTAATAGTTTTTGTTGCGTTCTAATGCATTCTCATGGTTCCTGTTGCATTATAATGCAGTTTAGTGTGTTTTACATGCTCTAATGTGCTCTAATGCGTACTAGTGTGTTTTAATGAGTTCAAATCTATTCAAAATCATTCAAATGCGTTTTAATGAGTTATAATGCGTTTTGTTGCTTCAAAATGTTGAGTTTATTGTGTGAGGTTTGGTTGTTATATTGTGTTACAATGTGTAATGTTATGTTATGCAACACATTATAACACAAAA